AGATGTACAGGGATAACACTTTTCCATCACAATCCAATAATTTCCATGCTCAACAATTTTTGGAAGAGGATTCACTCCTTTCTCGTCCAAAAAAGTAATAGTTTTTGTTTCTGTAATGATATGTGTGTTGTCGCTTGGTGTTTTGGCAAGTTTAATAATCTTACCATCTCCAAAATCAAACACCAACGACGTTGCTCCTGCAGTAATAAATTTTCCAAGTGTAAAGGTTCGATTGTCTGTCCATGTTTGTTGTGTTGGAGTGTTTAAAAGTCTTTTGAGATAACTATATCCATCAGAGTTCTGAATTCCAGTGGAGAAAAGACTCAATTTTGGACTTCTTGTGGTGATAATATTTTCCTCGCCCAGTTCTGTCATCGATTTTCTCATCTTCACAAAAATAATGTCCTTGAAGTTTGAAACGAATCCAAAAACATAGGACTTGTAGCTATCTTTGAGTGCCCTAAACATGTAATCACAAAGCTGGCCAAGGATATGTGGTGTTTCAATCACTTTTGTATCCTTTTTCAATTCTAAAAAAACCTAGCGCCAAATGTTCTATTGCTCTGGGATCATTTTCTGTTAGGTTAAACATTTTGGGAATAAACGTAAAGTCGGGCTTTCTGTTATGAATAATAGTTTTGTTTGTATCAACGGCTGTATATACTGTGGAAATTTCATTTGAGAACAGTTTTTTAAAGAACTGGTGGACACGTGTTTCTTTGTCCAAATTTTTTTCATTGATTGTTAGAGAAATCATGTTTGAACTACTTGCTTGATCATTACTATTGATTTGTAATGCTGGAATAGTACTATTGTTGAATTGTGTTGATTCTTCTTCACTCTGAAATTTTTCAACAGAGACTGAAAGACGTTGATACAACTCCGATGAGGTTATTGTACTTTCTTCAGTCGTTACTCGATTTTCCAATTTCATTCTCTTTGTCTGTTCTTCCATCTCCTTTCTCTTTGTCTTCTCTCTTTCCTTCGTCTCCTTTCTCTTTGTCTTCTCTTTTTCTCTTTCCGTCAAATACGTCAAATATTTTATGTACGCCCCCAATTTTTCGGAATTTAATTGGGCAAAAGAGACGCTGGGACCAATCGTCAGACATTTTTAATTTTTTTAAAAAATATTGAATATGAATACATCACAACGATTGATTATTGTCCAAACCAGAAACAACATACGGAACATGATTGAATGCAGTGACTCCAATCAATAAATAATTTCCCAATATTTTAGAATATTCCTAGTGTCAATGAAGCGGTCTTGGCCGAGTGGTTAAGGCGTTGGACTTGAAATCCAATGGGAAACCCGCGTAGGTTCGAGTCCTGCAGACCGCGGCTATATTTTTTTATATAATGTCCTTGGCTATTTGTAAAATCAATTGAATAAGGATTGTTAATTTCAAACAAAAAAAACACACCCACATCATCTTTGCTTTGACATTTCTTCGTCATGAAAAGAACAAAGCAAGCCTTTTCATCCCAAACAAAGCAGGAGGTCTGTGCTCTAAGGAAGCGTTTTAAAACGTTAATGAAGTACTTAAATCCACCTATGAGGGTTATATCTTTTATAATTCTGATGTCTTTATAAGCTGATATCACTCTATGTTTATCTTAAGTATAGATATAATTTATTTGGGTGGCATTTTAAGAACGATTTATTGCCATAGTTCACTTTCAGGTCTAAAGTAATGAACTTGAAATCTATAAAAAAGGAGGCTTATTAAAACAAAACCTCCTTGTTGAGATGGTGACCAACAAAATCAAAGCAGCGCAGAATATCCAAATAGAGAGTCTTTATCAAAAGTGATGACATGTACTTCAAACGAAGTGGTTTTGGCACTCATTTCCAAGGATACGGAAAACAAATACTTTCCAAAATCTATCGGTACCTTAGATTTCTTTTCCGTTAATGTCAGAAACTTATCGATCTTTTACCTCGATCGTTTTGGATTGTTGGACTCCACTTCAATTCAAAAGGAATCCTTAGACACTCTTAAAGACCTTGGGAAAATAATTACTTATGGTGACGGCCAGAATAAGAATATCTTAAGTGTCAGTCAAAAGATATTCATGGTGAGTTTCTTTGCATGTGCTTTGTTTTCTAACGAATCATATTCGTTAGCAATTCATTTATTAAGGTGGTGACTCAACATCAGCATGGAATGTCCACTTCAATTATTTACGAATCAAAGGAAGTGTTTTCTTTCCGTTTCTATGGACCTGGATTGGTACATTTACCGATGAAATTTTGAAAAAGAAGAGCAAGGATGGTGACTCAACATCAGCACCTCGTATTCTCTCACTTCCAGTTCATTATGACAACAATCCAAAGGAAGAAAAGGAATTGTTGTTTTAGATCCCAGTATTCAATTCCTTGTAACAACTAGAGGAGCAGTTTGTAATGTTGGAAAGAGCATTTTCATCCACTTTGTCAACGATTCAAAGAATGATTGTGTTAAAATCATCCAACAATCCGAATGTTTCACCAAAGCTGTTCCTTCTTACATTATGGATCTATTGGAATTTGATGGGAATAAACAATAAAGTGTGTATATTGTTTTGTTATCGCTATATGATGATAAAATATGAAGGTCGCCACCATCAAGGTTCGAATCATCAAATCCTATCGATTGATAAGTTATAACCCTTGTGATTACTGCGAGCCTTTACAAAAGTGTCTGACAGCACTACTTCGAATTGAATGAACTGTGGACGAATTGCTTTCTATCAAACCTTCGTGATGCCGGGCATAGGACAGAAAGAAAAAGGGATGTTGAAAATTGTCAAAATAAATCCAAAAGATTGAAATTACCAGGAGTCAGTATGGGTTGTCCTTGCGAGATTCTCAAAGAATCACTACAATATTTCACAAATTTTAATTTTTTATTATCTCCAATTCTGACCAATCAAAATGCGCCACTAAATTCTGAAACCCAAACTGCGCAATAAATCAGTTAAAAACACTCTACAAAACTACCATTCATTGTTTTGATTGGTTTGTGGTTGTTGTGGCATTGGAGTCAATCCTCTCTTGCAATCATTCAACTGGTCAAAAGCATATTGGCAAGATCCAATAGAGTATGGGTTTTGTTCCAAACATTGCGAGAAGGATTGCATTTGTGAGAAGCACTTTTGCATTTCTTGTGGAGAGTATTGTGGTTGTTGTTCTCCAGCATTGTCCTTGGAACCAAAAGCATTAGAAACTGAATCATAAATAGCATGTCCGATCATAGTACCAGCAACCGTGGAAACAATATTTCCCATAATACCAGAACCTCCGCTTTGAACAGGAGCTTGTTGATATTGTGGTGGTGGTGGGGTTGTGGTTTGTTGTTGAGGTCTAGCTTGTTGTTGTGGAGTGGATGAGGTGGAGTAATTTCTAGTTTGTTGTTGTGTGGGTGGAACTTGGTGAGAAGAAGAATGAGAGGATGAGGATGAAGAGGAGGATCTTCTTGAAGCACCAGTAAATCTACTCTTTTGTGCCATGGTTTGTGTGATTTCTTGTGAGTATGTGATGAGGGTATTTTTTTTTGAATAATAAAAATAATTTACAACTGAATGTTCCTTTTGAAGATCAGTGGCGATGAAATGCCCAAAAATTCCGAATTGATTGAGAGAGTGTGGACGCACCAACGCGCGCACGTGTGTGTGTCTCAAAGTGATTGAATGAATGCGTGGTCCTCATTCCGAAGACTCTTTTAATTCATCAATCTCAATGTTCAATACAGAAGTGAACAGAGGATCGTCATCAAATGGGATTTCTCTCTCTTCAATTCCTTCATGAACGAACCTTATCATCTCACCCTCAAAGGATCTCCAGTTTACAACCTCGCTTATTTTCCGACGAGAAAAGACCTGAAAAAAGCGAAAAAATATTTATTGCTTGGAATTGCCTTCATTCCTCATCGCGCCCTTCTCATCATGACGCACAAAACACGTGCCGTTATTGTGGCAGCTCAGAGAACACCTATCGGTTCCTTCCTTGGAAAACTTTCTGGCTTTGATGCTCCCAAGTTGGGATCATTGGCCATTCGTTCCGCAACACAAAAGGCTGGAGTTGCTCTTTCCGAGGTGCAAGAAGTCATCATGGGAAATGTAGTCTCAGCAAATTTGGGTCAGGCACCTGCTCGTCAAGCAAGTATTCATGCCGGACTCCCTGAAAGTGTTGTTTGTACAACTGTGAATAAGATGTGTGCATCGGGCATGAAAGCAGTCATGTATGGAACTCAAAACATTGAATTGGGCATTCATAATTGTGTGGTTGCTGGTGGTTTTGAATCCATGTCCAATGCTCCATATTATATTCCACAGGGTCGATCAGGCTATCGATTGGGTGATGGTAAATTGGTCGATTCAATTCTTAAGGATGGTTTGACTGATGCCTATAATGGCGAGCATATGGGTTGGTGTGCCGAACAAACAGCCAAATTATATAAAATTACACGTGAGGAACAAGACGCCTATGCTATTGAATCCTATAAAAGAGCTGCTGAAGCAAATGAGAAGGGATACATGTCCGAAGAATTGTTCTCCATTGCTTTGCCATCCAAAAAGAAGGGAGACCCAATTCAATACATTCAACACGATGAAGAGTTTACAAATATTAATATGGACAAGGTTCCACAATTGAAACCAGCATTTGTGAAGGAAAATGGTACTGTCACTGCTGCTAATAGCTCAAAATTATCAGACGGTGGTGCTGCTTTGATTTTGATGAGCGAAGAGAAAGCAAAGAAGGCTGGTATTAGACCAATTGCAAGAATTTTGGGATATGGAGATGCTGAAAAGGCTCCAATTGATTTCACAACTGCTCCATCTTCAGCCATTCCAGTGGCTTTGAAGCATGCAGGAGTTTTGCAAAGCGATGTCAATTTGTGGGAAATCAATGAAGCATTCAGTGCTGTTGCTTTGGTCAACATGAGACTTTTGGGATTGGATGTCAGTAATGTCAACATTTTCGGAGGAGCTGTTGCATTGGGTCACCCAATTGGTTGCAGTGGTGCTAGAATTCTCTGTACTCTCATTAGTGCTTTGAAGCACAGAAAACAACAAGTGGGTTGTGCTGCCATTTGCAACGGAGGAGGCGGTGCTAGCTCTGTTGTTATTGAATTGCTCTAAATCAACCTGTGATTTGAATTACATTAAAATGATTCCTATTTTGAACAATCGAGTTTGTGAGGGAATGTCATTTACTTTGAAATATTGAGTCATGTCGCGAAAATGAAACATTACCTTATGAAAGAATAACACTCTTGTCCACATCATGGCCAATCAAGCACAAATTTACGAAAGTTCTCTCTTGCATTCTGAACTCTCTTCACAGAACAAACACGAAATCAAGTTACTGGTTCTTCTGTCGAGTGTACCATTCAAGGTT